GGGGATGGGGACTGGGGGGGGGTTGGTCTGAGAGGTGTTGAATTGTTTGAGCAGTCATTTAGTTGTTACGATTATTTCCATCGGGGGATGAGGGGGTGGAGGTAAATACCAAATACTGATATCGAGGGGGTGAATAGACAAGAGGGGGTTGGTGACGAGAGCCGACGAACTCATCCCCCTGTTATGACGTGGATTCGTTATCAGGATTAAAGGATTTTTGAGTTTTTCTATTTTTTTTTTCTTTTTTTTTTTTAGTGAGCTGCCCTTTTTTAGGGCTTTTTTTTTCAGCTGATTGGCTTGTGATCCCGTGAATGAGCGTGATGGTGGGTGATTTGTGATTGTGTACTGTGGAATTTTGAGTATTACGAGGAGTTAGGATGATACTGCCAACGTGTACCGGTGGATGCTGCCGCTCATGTGCTAGGTGAGCTGTTTTTTTTTTTGGTTCATTTGAAAAAAGAAGAACGAGATTTTACGTGAATTTTCATCGAATATCGCGAAATGTTATCGCATTGTTTATAAAAGCCGCGGGGATCGGGCTATTTTAACTCGGATGGGGTAATTATTTATGGAAAACCCTCCCAGGGACTCAATTAAACATGACAAAGGAGATAAATCGGGATGGGATGGGAGATTGTTGTTATCAGATACTAGTGAAGGAGTTGATGATAAAAATTGATGCTCTCTGAATCTTCTGGGGTAGGAGGGATTTTTTCAGTCGATCTGGAGGTTTGGGAATTATTTTTGAGAGGATTGGAGTGGTTTTTATATCGAGAAGTGAAAATGAAAAAAAAAATACTTGTGCAAAAATCGCGGGGGCATGAATTTTACGCCTGCCGGAGGCCATTTAATCCACACATTTTCATACTTTGTTTCCCTTTTTCTCTCTCTCTCTCTCTCTCGGTCGTGTCTTTTTTATCGCATTGTCAACGTGGGGTCGATAATGATACGCAGGGGAGAGGAAAAATGAGACAGAAAAAGATGGCAGAGAATTCCCTGGCTCACGTGTTTCGTCAGGTTGTGACTAGGGATAATAAAATGAGAGCTTTTTGGGGCTCGTCTTACTCTTGAGGATTTTAAGGGGATGATACTGGGGATGATACTTTGGGGATGATGCAAATGTACATGTGAGATTTAATTGGCGGTGGAGGGGCGGTGGCAGATGGCGTTTGCGAGGCCGTGAGGTCCGTTATCTCAGGACCACGTGGCATCAATCGCGTTATTTTTTTTTTCTCAAAATTTATACAAGAAAAACAATTGAAACTGAAACTCTAAACACCACCGATTTTCCCGGAATTTTCCAGCATTTATCCCAAAATGTCCCCTCCTCCCCCTCCCTCCCTCAGAAAAAAAAACTAATTACCCGAATTTTCAGACGAAAAATAATCCGTGATCACTTCATGCATAAATCTATTGACTCATCCATTGGGAAAATATGGATTGAATATTTTCGGACTAGAAAAAATATTTTTTCTATTCATCCCTCCATCACTGGCAGAATAACATGGGACAATATTTCTCACTTATTTCTGTAATTTTCGTATTCCGTGTGTGCGGGAGAAATTTTCGCCGAGTGGTCCACGAAAATACCGTGAGATTGCTTGATACGATAAATATTGGATAGATGTATGCTCTCTATGTATATTGTGAATACACAGTGCATCGTGAAAGTGGCGATAGCCAAATGGACGAACTGGACACTGGGATTCCCGTGAAAATTGCATTGCCGTGATAGAGAGGCAGAATTTTGGTAGAAAGGGTTGGACGATGCGTTTGTCGCATGGTTGCAGTAGTGAAACGTTTCATGGTGTCATCCCCTTTTCAACCCCCTCCATCCCTTAACCCCCTATTCAACCTCTGCTCCACCCTCCCCCCTCTGTACCATCGGCTGTCCCCATCCACCCACCGGGTGGTCGACAATTTTCCGGAACTGACGATTTTACCAAAATGAAAAATTCGTCAAAGGATTCCCCGGGGTTTTCCGCAGGTTTTCATTTCAATTCTGTCGCTGAATTTCCAGTGGGAATTTATACAATTCATCTGAATTAATATCCAATTTTGATAATTGCGTGACAATTTACGTAATCAAGAGGGGAATCGTTTATTTCTCCGCTTTTCAAATTTTCCTGACGCGTGAGGTCGATGGGGAAGAGGAAATTTCGGCATTTTCCGCGGTTTTTAATTTTTTTTTTTATTCTAGGGGAACTTTCAAGTGGAAATTGATTTAATTAATATCTACTTGAGGGTTTGTTGTATTATGTGATAATTTCTAGAATTTCGATTTTTGTTAATTTAGATGTTAAAAAAAATGAATTAATTAGATTGAAATAGAAAATGAAATAAAAATGAATTGAAAAATTTAGTATAAACAAATTATTTCTTTAATTACTTGGGGGTTTGTTATATTATGTGATAATTTCTAGAATTTCGATTTTTGTTAATTTAAATGTTAAAAAAAATGAATTAATTAGATTGAAATAGAAAATGAAATAAAAATAAATTGAAAAATTTAGTACAAACGAATTATTTAATTAATTCTTAATGAATCTTTATCAATTTCCAAGTATTCTGGGAAATTCTAGGAAAACTGTCACATGCCACATTTTCCCCCCATTTTCACGGAATTGATAGCCTTTTTTTCTGACCCACTGAGGGAATTAGTTATCATTATCTCGAGTTGACCAGCGACAAAACGAGTAAAACGTCGATTAACATAATGATGAGGGATTGAGACACATATTGGAGCTTTGGGAAATTTAAGGTAAATATGAAGTTATTGGATGTAATTTGTTCGCGAATAAATATCCCAAAAAGGGGAGGGGAAAAAATTAAATTATGAGAGAACTGGAGATTGAGAGAATTTTCCAGGAGTCTGCACACGACCCAATTTTTTCCATCATTAATATAATTTGTCCTCTGAACAATAAAAGAGCGAAACGATTCGAGAGGTACATGAAAATATTAATTGGTATTTATTATTGAAATCGCGGTCTCACGTAATGATTAAATGATCTGAGAATTCGTTGTAAAATCTAATGTAATCCCACGAAATCCCATGGAATCATCTGGAATTATTGAAATCATGAAATCCTTCCAAATGCAATTACCGATTTCAATGATTTAATTAACGCACTGAAATCGCTTTATAAAATCCCATAAAATTATTTGAAATCGTTTAAATCATGAGATTTCATCGATTTCACGTGATTGTAAATGAAATTATGGGAAATCATTTAAAATCGGATGGAATCATGAAATCCTTTCAAATGCAATTACCGATTTCAATGATTTAATTAACGCCCTTAAATCGCTTTATAAAATCTCATAAAATTACTTGAAATCGTTTAAATCATGAGATTTCATCGATTTCACGAGATTGTAAATGAAATCATGGGAAATCATTTGAAATCGAATGAAATCATGAAATCCTCCCAAATGTAATCAATGATTCCAATAATTTCATTATCTCACAGAAATCGAATTCCCAGTGCAATTATCGCTTTTGCAAACTCGATATTTTCTTAAATTAACGTGCAATGTTTATAATGCGAATTTTAAAATAATGCGAAATATTCCGATACTATGGCAATATTTTCGTCAGATGTGAATAGAGATGAATGTTATTGAGGTAAAGAAATTGTGAAACGTGACGATCACCGAGTGTTTCGGATTCCACAAGTATCCAACAATTCTGGGGGAAAATTGTGGGTTCGGGGGAAAATGCGAGAGAGGATTTGTGCTTTTCCGTTGTACTTTTCTCGGGGGTGTATCGGGGGTGTTTTGTGGGTTGGCGAAATGCACTGGCGTCTATACCTTTTTTTTCCCCCCTTTTTTTTATCTTCACGTCAATATTTGCCGATTTATTCGACCGGTGTACTGACTCGGGGGAGAGGTTTGCCGATGTCTTGTACTTTTCCGAGATTCTTTTCGGGGGATTATCTACGGGTGAGGGGTAATTGCCGGTGTTTTCGAAGGAAAAGAGGAGGAGGAATTGATTTTCCAGAGGAAATTTTCACCGGCGGCGCAATAAAACAATTGTTCACAGAAAATTAATGGGAATCACGAAAATTCCAAACGTCCAATAAGAAATCCCGGATTTCATTCGAAAAATTAATTAAACCATATTATTTATTTTAAATTTAAAATATTTTCGTAGGAGTTGATATTGTTAAAAATCGGTATTAATGCTCTTTTCAAAAAATGAAAAAAAAATGAATGGTCTCTTCGGCGCAATAAAACTGGAAAATTCAGGTTTAATTTTCACTTTCGAAAACCCACGGACTTTCACTCTCGTCATGCCATCCCCATTGTCCCCTATCTTCCCTCGACATTTCCCAAAAACTTCGGTTAAACGCCCTTCTAATGGATAAGAATCTCAAGTGAAACGTGCGATAAAACGAAAATTCAGCGATGGGGGGAGGGGTGGGTGGGCTGGAAAAAGGGGGTGGGGGTGGTGCCTGTGGCATTTTAGTTTTCACGGGGTAATGAAAATCCTGTTCTCTCCGCTCTGTTCCCGGGGTTTTCCCTCTCGCTCGAATACACGTGTACGGTTCAGGGGGTGGTTGGGGAGGAGGTGGGGGTGGTGGGGGCGCACAATAGAGAAGATCTATATCAAGAAAATCCGCAAATGCATGAATTCCCGGGCTTTCATTCTATTCTTTCTCTCCATTTTTTTTTCTCTCCGTTCCAACTTTAAAAATTTCCAATTATTTCAATTATTTTGTAAATTTCCGGTCAATAAATTCTCGAGTGAGTGAAATATCTGGGAATTTTTTATTCCACATATGTATTTTAATTTCCAATTTTTACCAAAAAAATTGGAAATTTTACTGGACTCGTTGGATTTTTTTTGCTGTAATAAAAAAAGAGTAGTCTCCTCGGTAATAAAAAAAAAAAAAATCAACGTAAAAATCCCGTCAGAGGCAATAGCCAAACTCTGCAATTACCAAACGTGAGGGTGAATTTTACAATAAATATTTCTCCACGCGGGCAAGCAAAGGCCGAATTGTTATCGATATTAAAAAAAAAAATTAGAGGCATAAAAAACGGGGTAAAAATGGATTTTATGGGGTAAATATAGAGCCACCCTGATAATTTTATTTGTTTCGTCATTTCGTTATGAACGCAGAAAGAATCGTAGATGAAATATTTTTTTATGATTTGTTATTTTTTTGTTCGTTCCACCAGTGGCCATTTTTGTTCATAAATTTTTTATGACCTTTCGTTATCATTTTTTGTTCTCTCTCTGTCCAGTTGAAACGTGGAAATGAATAAAAATACGTTTTGGCATTTTGGAGAGTTGTCTCTACTGTTCTGTCATTGCTTTTAACTTTATTCCTCTCTCCTTGTGATTCTATTTTTATCTTATACTATTGCAATCACGAACCAATGCCATGAGGGGGTGCAGAGGGTTCCTGAGAACGT